TAGATTGAGAAGTGGAGTATAAAATTTATGTCAGAACAACCCATGTTTTTGCCTATAACTAGGACTAAGAGAAGAGGATGGAGACATATATGTAGGTCCCCCCATCTTAAGGAGATCAGTCAGGAAAAAGAGGAATGTCAGGGAAGGACCAGTGCCAGGGGCTGCATCTGGAAGTTAGATTGCCATTGCCTGGCTCCATAAGATACTGGCTCAGCAGGAAAGAAAGTAACCTTCTGGTCTCTTGTCCCCACAGAAAAAGAACAGAGCTGACTATAGAATGACAGAATTAGACTGAGTCTTGAAAACAAAATCAATACAAGTTATCCCCATGCTCAGAGCCCAACTTTGTAGTTTAGTCAACAGAGTTTGTGGCAACAAAACTGAAGAAGTGCTCAGTCAACTAAATTATTCCTATCAAATTCCCTTTGGAAAGGAAAGGAGCGTCCTTATAAATAGAATTAAAGACACTAAGTTGGAGAAGTAAGTTCCTAAGGGCTATCCTTGCCTAGTGGAAGAAAGGAAAGTGCTCGAATCAAGCTCAGGGCACTAGTGGGTCTGAGCTGAGCGGTCTTCCTCCCTTAGCTGCGGGACCACAGCGGTGGCTCGGAGGGGAATATCGTCAATACCCTCCTGCGTGTGCCTCAAACTGAGGTGCTCCGAGCTGCCTTAACTCATTCTTCATGTGAATTCACTTGGCAAAAGTTTGCATGAACTTCATGTAGTAATTTTTTTTTATGTATGGGTACACCCATGTGACCACCTCCCAGGTCAAGATATAGAACATTTACATTATCCACAATCACTGTCACTTCCAGAAGGTAACGGCTAGTTTAACTGCCGTCACTACACATTAGTTTTGTTGTTGCTGTTCTTGAACTTCATATACATGGAACCATACAGCATATATATATATATTTGTGTGTGTGTTTGGCTTCTTTATTCAAGATGTGGGTTTTGCAGCTTATTCATGTTTTTCTTTGTATTCGTAGTTTGTTCCTTTTTATTGATGATAGCTTTCCAAAGAGGAAACCACACAGCCATAAGCACAGGAGAAGTCTTCCCCTTCATCCCTTCCTTTAGCAGGCATGACACCCTCTTCTGGTGCATTCCACTTCATTCTCAGGTTCCTTTGGAAGCAGGGAGGGAGCACTGGACACAATGTATCTCCCAGTACCAGATATATGCCCAACTCTCCCCGGTGGATATCACATTCTTGATTCTGGGTTACACAGTAGTCAACAAATGTCCGCTTTCACAAACAGTTCCTGAACATGATGCAAAACTCTAAGAGGAAGATACAAAGATAATTAAAATGTAGTTCCTGCCAAGGAGAGAGTGGTTGAGAGCAAGTCTTATTAGTTGGGTGCTCTTAGGCAAGCCGTGATCTTCTAACCTGAATAAGATATCGCACACGGCAAACAACAATAATATTGCCTCTACAACAGTAAGAACTGCATGTAAGATGCATAGCACAATGTCTAGCACTTAGGTTTTAAATCAGTGCTACTTACTATGGTTACTGTTATTATAATGTTCACAATGTAGGAAGGAGAAAGACAGACCAACCACAAATACAAAGCAGACAATCAGAGGTATTAAAGTGAGGTAAAATGTGCTGTGGGGATATAGAGAGAAAGAGGATAATTTGAGCTAGAAAATTCAGATAAAATTTCTCATTGAATTTATAGAGAGTTGGGTGCAGCTCTAACATTAATGATCAAATAATGAGTAAGAGGGCAAGTTGTAATAAAAAGACCATCAAGATTGAAACCCTATATAGCCTTACCTTTGAAACTAGGCTCATCTCTTTATTAGCCATAAGATTTGGGACAAGTAACTTAACCCCTCCAAGCTCCTATTTCATCATTTGTAACTGATGACAATTCCTGTTTCTAATGGCTGTTAAGGATATAAGTATATCTCAAACACCTAGCACAATACCAGCTACTCAGTGCTCAAATTTTAACAATCACAAGGGAGAAACTAAGGGTCCACACACACTGTTCCTCTTAGGGTGAGGCTGGGGGTTCTTTTCAAAAAGGCACTATCATGACCCACCTGGTGTCATTTGCCTACAGCAGTGATGCCTACAATGGTTATAAGACACGTGGAGAATCTAGCAGTCCTTTCAGCCAGGAAAATGCACACATATATGAACATTTTTGCATTATTCAAGAGATTCTAAGACTCCAAAAGTGTATTCCACAGAGCTGCCAAGCTTCCGGAGCCCCCAGTGAAGAACTTAGCACCAGAAAAGACGTATAAGCCATCTAAGTATAAAAGTAAAAAACCATCTAAGGCAAATCTCTGCAAGCCTCACTGCTATTAGCCTCTATTTAATCTTGGCTGAATAAAAAGCAGGGCAGTGGACCCAAATGTGAGAGCAAAACTGGCAAAAACACTCCTCCGTAATTACATTTTGTTTTCTCACTGAAGCAGTTCATCAAACCTCAGCGCCATTAGCGGTGTGCTGACCCCGCGCTGCCTCGGCCCGCTGAGCCAACACCCAGGAGCCCCACTCCTGCTGCCTCCGGGTAGGTGATCTTAGGCACTTGTCACTAACTCCGCATGGAGTCATTTGTCAAACCCCTGCTTGCCTTCCACATCTTTCCTTTTTCTCCCAGCCTGATACCTAACTTGGTGCACTCAAATGCCACTGTTGTATTGCCCCAGGGCCTGCCTGACTGAGGGATTTCTTTTTTTTTATGCTTTTTTCCAGTGTTTGACACTGTGTGCAAACAACCTAAATGTTCCATGGCATTATGAGATTCTGGGATAGGAAAAAATAATGTATTAGCACCTGAGCTGTCTCTAGATGCTGTGTCTTTTCTGATGCCACCCTTGATGGAATCCTGAGGAGGTTATCAATAAACCTGATTCCGGGCCCTTTGCATCCATCTTTATCACCACCACCATTGTCATCACCACGATCATCACTGTGCGGTTTCTTGCCCGTTTGTTCGCCCCTCTCTCCTCTTCCACTCTCTGCCCCTTCTCTGCGCCCAGGAGGCTGACTCCTGCAGGCTCCATCTCCCAGAAGGCCTGGCTGCACAGGCTGCAGATCTGAGGCTAGGGAAGTCCTTTCCCATTTCCTCCCTGCTTTGCCTCATTTCTAGCCCTGGTGCCACCCTTCAGTCACGGCTCTCCAAAGCAGCCTCTGCTCCAAGATCCCTGCCCTCCCTGGGCTCCCTGCGCCATGTCTCCCCCTTGCCTCGTCAGGACTAAGGGTGCTAACAGGCTTCTGTTTATGTTAGTCTGTGGGTCCCTCAGCTTCCACGGTTCGTCTCCTAACCCCACTCACTGAGTAACCCTTTCCTGGATGTCTCTGGGGCCATCTGAGGTAGGCGACGTGTCCTGCTGGGCCAATGACAGAGGCATCTCCAACGTCATCTCCTCTCTGCCTGTTGTTTATCGATTGCCCCTCATGTATCAAACTCTGCTGACTGCTTCACCAGCATTAACTCATCTCGCTTTCCTAATGACTCCATGAGCAGAGTATTATTCCACAGATGAAAAGGAGACTTTGCAGTTTTAAAGACCTTATCCCAGGTAACACAACTTCTAAGTGGCAGAGTCAGAAGTCCAGTTCACATCTTTCTACTCCAGTCCTTTTTTAACCACTACCAACAATTCTCCAGTGCAGTCCATGTCAGAATCACCTGGAGTGTTTATTCAAATCCAGATTGTGGGATAGCTACCCAGGGCCTTCTGCTGAGGAAACCAGCTCTAGGTTTTAACCCGAGCAGTGAGGTTGGCTCAGGGTCATCACCTGATCCAAGGGGAATCATTGCATGAGCTCACTGACACCCTACGTGGTGGGCCGGCATTAAAACAGGTCGTATGTGCATCAGCAATTAGTGAGGCCAATCAAACTCTCTCACCCTCCAAAGTTTAAATGAAAAATGCTAAGGACATTAGGAGGTAAAGGGAGGAGAAAGAGAGAGAAAAACAAACAAACAAACAAAAAAACCAAAGAAGACAAGGAGTGAGAAAGTGGCATGGCCATTTGGGTGAACAGTGACAGGTGACGCAGCAATGAGACAGCAGTGCCCCTGCAGCCAGCTGGAAGCCGGACAGTGACTGTTCTCAGCTTCTCTCGAGCTGTCTCTCCACTCACTCTTCAACCTAACAGAGGTCTGAGTGATCCCTGCTCATGTCTTTCCTGACTAGACTCCTTTGGCTAAGGTGACACATCTCCTGGGATTTATGGGAAGAGCTCTAAACTAACACATGGGCAACAGCCTCCCTACTGGTCTTCCTGCTTTTACTCCGGCCACCCCTCCAAACCATTAGTCACATTGAAGCTGGAGTGATTTTTTCCAAAATAAAAATCCAACTTAATTGACCTCCTTGCTTAAACCCACAAAAGCTTTCCTACTCTTTTGACACAGAGGGGAAGTCCCTACTGTGTGCAGCCTACGAGCTCCTACATGGTGCAGCCCCAGGCCTCCTCTTGATCCTCAGCTGCAGCCTCACTCCCCTCCGCTTGTGGTCCAGCCACACTGTTCTTCCAGTCCCTCCTGATCACCACACTCCCTCCTGCCACTGGGCCTCGTACAGGCTTTTCCTTCTGCCCCTAGTGTGGACCCCCAGCCCTTTCACCTTCTTAATGCCTGCTTGTCATCAACATTGCTTCCCCAAGGATGCCTTCCTGACCTCCCTGCCTGACACCAATCTCAGGGCATCTCCTTGCATGGCATTGCTCCCAAGTGTGACTTCTTCTGTCATTACTTGACAAATATCTGTCTTTTCTACCAAGCTGAGATCAGGGCCCATATCTGAGTTTGCTCACTGTGGCACCCCCAGCATCTTGCAGAGTGCTTGGCCTAGAGCAGGCAGTCAAATATTAGTTGAATGCATGAATGGTTTAATGTCTACACACAATAACACTAGGGAAAAGCGCCTCTGAAAGTGTCATTGCATAGTTGCTGTGGAGAGAATGACAATAGTAACGGTGGACAAGTCACTGTTGCTTAGGAAGGGCCAACATACAACAAGAGAGCAGAGTATGTGTGGCTGCATGCACAGCACCCAGGACCAAGCACTGCACTTGGAAGGGGAGCACAATCCTTCTGCAGCCCCAACGTCCACTTTAGCACCTAAGAAAATGCCCAAAAGGTCAGTGACACTTGGCTCTCCTTTACTGGGTTTCATTTCAGTTTGCAGGTGTGTTTCCAGTGAGTTTGTACCCACGACTTGATAGCCAAGATACTGCAGGTTTGGTGCCTCTTACCCCAATCCACCTTTAAATCAAATTGGAAAAACAAAGAGAACAAATGTGCAGCTTTGATTGCAAACTGAAAAGATGATACAATTAACACAGATTTCTTTAATTGTGCCTTGAGAAACATTTGTAAGTCAAAATTGGCACCGATTTTATCTGTATAGCATATTATTTTAAATTACCCATGACAGAGGGAAATTGTTTCGTATCATTCAAATGTGTGAAATTATGGCTAATTAATGAAAAATATTCTTTTTTTCATGTATTTCCATTTAGTGGACATACTTTCTTGAATAATTAACAGGGGCTAGGTAGCACTTTGCTAGGCTGAGGCTGGGAGAAGTGGAGAGAAATCATATAGCGCTTGCTCTCAGTAGTCTCACAGACTAATGGAGATGGTGGTAATGGGAAATACAATCTTTTCAAGCGCGCACTGTACCAAGTGAAGATAGCACGTCCTTTATCCTATGAAGGAGATAATAATGGTATAGAGTTTTTAGGAAAACGGGAACAGCTCACCAAGACCATAAAAAAAGACAAGATTTCAGAGTCTAGCTTTTCAATTTTATAGGAAAAATGAGGGGCCAAAGGTTATGATCTCGAGGAGTTAGTGCCAAAACCAGATCTTGAACCCCAAAGTTCCCTTTAAGGAGTTAAAGATATGACCAAGTTCTGCTGTGCTTAGTGGCTTTCTCCAAAACCACTCCACCTATTGGGAGTTGAAATATCAAGCAAACTGTGATTTGCTGTTTGTAGGGGAGCAAGGTTCATCTTCCTGCCTCCCATCAGGCCCCTTTCCGATCTGACATATCAGGAGGAATAACTTCCCCAAATACAAATCTGAGCATGTCATCCCCTTCTTTCCCATTGCCCTTAAGATAACAGTCTGCGTCCTCCATGGGCGTGGCATGCTGTGGCTGTAGCCGGTAGCTGCAGCCTCCCCTCCCACCACCAGCTGCTTCTTGTCCCGGTTCCAGCCACACCATATCCTCTGCACGCCATGCGCTCTCCCACCTCCGGGCCTAAGCGTGGTTCCCTCTGCTTGGGATGCTCTTGCTGTTTCTTCACTTGTGACTCATTAGGCCGAGTTAAAATGCCATTTTCTTGTAGACTAGGTTAGTTCTTCCCTGCCCTCTGTGTGTGCTCTTCCATTGCTCTTTACTGGCTTGTTTAAAACCCTTCATTCTGCGCTAGACTCTAAGTCCCAAGAGTGCAGGCACTATGTCTGCCATTCACTAATGCATCCCCAGCCCCGCTCGAGACCTAGATTCCTAGGTAGGCAAGGCTACTAGACAAATAAACTTCAAATCCTCAGCATCTTACAGACCAAGATGTTCCTTTTTTCTTTTCATGTGACAGTCCGGAGTGGGGGTTCCAGGTCTGTGGCAGTTTTATTCCATGAAGCCATGTAGGGATCCAGGCTGATGTGGCTTGTGGCTTGCATGTGTGGTTTCCAAGGTGTCCCTGATAACCTCTGCTAGTCAGCTGGAAAGGGGAATGAGTACAGAAGAGTGTACATAAAAGGTGATCCCTCGTCTACTCCTCCACTAGACAGAATTTAGCAATGCGGTTACATAACTGCAAGAAAGACGAGGTTATGTGGGCTAGCTGGCCATCTGCCATCCATGGTCAAGCACATCTTTGCTAAATGGCAAGGAGAGAAGGGAGTTTGAGAGGTATGTGGCTGTCCACCAGAATGCTCAGTGAAAATGTTTATTGAAAACATATCCATTTTAAAATCATTGTATTGCTTTGCTTTAGATGCAGATATCAATATCCAAAGTCCAGAATCACTATGTTTCTATCATTTTGTTGGCAGCATTTCAATATCCAAACAACTGGCTTCAATAAAAGGTAAGGCATGGGGTGGCTGAGATGTATATGCCTCTCCTCTACCATGAGAGCACGCCAGCAGTCAAAATAATAGGACATCAAAGAATGCCAGATTTGCAAGAGAACTTGTGGATAAATCATCAAACATTCACGAAGTTTTCTTAAAGATTTGGGAACTGAGGTCCCGTGGTAGGAATCAGCGCACCCAAACAGGTTGTTAAAGGCTGAGCTAAAATGAGAGCACAGATCCCCGAACTCCCAATTCAGTGTTTTTCCCACTGTGCCCAGTCGCCTGTTCATAGGCAGCATCTTCAGTGCGTCCAGAGCAAGACTGTCAGTGTCTGAGTCACGAAAGTTCTGTGAAACTCAGGAAGTAATCAAACCCCAGCTGCTCTGTTGGCCGAATGAAAACACAGTGTGACCAAGTCCCAAAGTGAAGATATCTGCCCTCAGAATTATGTTTTTTAGGTAAAATATCTTTAAAACTAACAATGTTGCCATGAACAATGTAAGAACGATAAAAATACCCATATACTCAGCTGTGTGGCTTAAAGTGTTTGCAGAGTAACAAGCACAAATGTATATTACTGCATTATGGTTGTTTTCTTCCTAGATGACTGGCCAGTGTCTGAAAAGGAGACTTAATATTTTTATTTAAATAAATCTCCATCTTGATGAAAATATTATTTTTATACTATCACAAGAGATCTATGGTTTGTTTTACAATTTACACAATCTTAGGTACTTTTGAAAATTGTTCTATTACATTTCCAATACAACTTCTCCTTTCTAGGAGATTGAAGGGGCTTGAAGCAGCCTCACTTCTCCCTACCACACGCTCACTGTTCCTAACACCAGGCACCTTACGGTGAGCTGTTGGGCCACATTTATTCCTCTGCCTTAAGAAAACACAGGATGAACATGACTCGTTCTCCCAGAATGTGTTTCATTCAGTGGTGAATACTTTTTGAAGTTATTTATTGGAATCAGACATGAACAGAGGTCTTTTTTTTTTTT